TGCACTCAGGGCTTGCTCCTGGCTCTGCACTCAGGGATCACTCCTGGCAGGCTTGGGGGACCATGTGGGGTGCCAGGGATCAAACTCAGGTCAGTTGGGTGCCAGGCAAATGCCCAATCTGCTGTTATATTGCTCTGACCCTGCGAAACACTCTCCCCCCGACCCTTTTTAAAACTGAATCACGGTGAGATACAGTTACAAAGCTTTCATGTTTGAGTTTCAGTCATACAATGATCAAACACCCATCCCTCCACCAGTGTACATTCTCCACCACCAATGTCCCCAGTATCCCCCCCATTCCAACCCTCCCCCTGCCTCGATGGCAGACAATTTCCCCCATACTCTCTCTTTTTACTCTGGAGCATTATGGTTTGCTGCGAAATGCTCTTTTGCAGGGGATACGCTTTCTTAGTTCTCCCTTCCATTTCTCACATGAACGTTTGAGCAATTTGTGAACTTCTGGCAATTCTGACTCAAGTCCGGCTGCAGGATGAGTCTGGCCTATACCTGTCTTCCTCTTTGGTGCGGGCTTATTATAGGATTTGCAATTAGTTTAATTTGGATTTGGTTAATTGGAAGATGCAGTCGGGCCCTCCGGACAGGGTCAATCCTTAGCGGAGGTTGTGAGGACAGGGCCACTCCAGTGGAGCCAGCGTTCACAGGACAGGAACCAGGCCCAGGTTGGAACCCTCTGCAGAAAAGGCCGTGCCGGGCCTCAGGCTTCTATGGGGATGGGCTTCAGAGATGATCTTCCTGCAATACCTGGGCGGGGGCTAGGTCCCATCTCCATGCCAGGCTGTGTGGCGTCTGACAAGCAGAGAGGAGGTGAGGGTGGCGGGTTGTGGGGGGTGGGGAACTCTTCCCCACATCCCTAATCTCAGTTTCCAGGAGGGTGGGAAGAGCTCCCCGTGACATATTCAATACGCCAAACACAGTAACAACAAAGTCTCCAATGGAGACGTTACTGGGCCCGCTCGAGCAAATCGATGAACAATGGGAGGGCCTTTACCTTACCTTTTACCTTTATCTAAACTAGTTCCCTCTCTCCAAAACTACTGATCTGGGGCCGGAACAATAATATAGTGGGCAGGGCACTTGCCTTGCAAGCAGCTGACCGTAGTTTGATCCCAGTATCCCATATGTTCCCCTGAGAACCACCAGGAGTAATTCCTCTGTGCAGAGTCAGGAGTAATTCCCGAGAATCACCAGAAAAAGCTCCAAAATAACAACAACAACAACAACGAAAAACAGAAGCAAAACCCTAGGCTAATTCTCCCTCATCTTCCTCTGTCTCAGGGATGACACAGTCCTCCTGATACAAGACTTCAGTCACGGCTCTATGGTAGGGTGGTTGGGTGTCTCTTAGGGAGAGACAACGGATCCCACAATGGATCCCACACTATCTACAAGGCACTCCAACAAAACTGCGTAGGTCCCCTGAGATGAGATATTTTTTTTGTGAGGGGGCTCACCCGGCAGTGCTCAGGGCTTCACTGAGCTCAGGGCTTCAGCACCATATGGAGTGCTGAGGATTGAACCCGGGCCAACCACATGCTTGCCTTGCTCTAACTACTACACTATGGCTCCGGCCACTGAGAAGTGATTTTTGAGGAATAGATATGGGCTGGAGCGATAGCACAGCGGGTAGGGCGTTCGCCTTACAAGCGGCCAACATGGCCGACCCGAGTTCGATTCCTCCGCCCCTCTCGGAGAGCCCGGCAAGCTACCGAGAGTATTCGATATGCCAGACACAGTAACAACAAAGTCTCCAATGGAGACGTTACTGGGTTCGCTTGAGCAAATCGACGATCAATGGGAGGGCCTTTACCTTTACCTTTACCTTAGATATGGTGGGAGTTGTAACATATGTATCAGTCATCTACAGCGATTTGCATCTTACAAGAAAATGTTGACATCGTTTCTGATAGATGATGGTGTTGTTAACAGATGATGTAAAATTCAAGGTAGCAGTAAATCCAGTTCCATTTGGAAAAGGTATTTTCTCTTCTTCATGATTTTCTTAACAACACTGTCTTCTCGGCAGTGTGCTTTTTGCTAAGGATACACTCTATAACCCACCGATCACACAGATAGGTACCAACTGGCTGGGTGTGGCTCCCAGAATAGAGTGGGTGTTTAGCTTTTGGGGCGTCAACAGTTATATGTGGATTTTGGACTCCATGGGGTGGGGGTGGGGATCAGCGCCCCTAACCTCCAGGTTAAGAGCCTACTGGATGCTCTCCCCCCCAACCCCTTCCACTCCTGCTTGCTGTCGTAGGCGTCAGATAGGAGTGGACATAACAGGTGGTACGGCACACCACACTCTCCTCTAGTGCTGGAGGCTCACAACCACAGACCACAAGGCACACAGCTCCCCGTGGCTCTCCTCTGTCCTCCCACCTGTCTTTGAACCCCAGGGGCCATGGGGAAACTGGAGCCATGAGTGCGAGGTGCAGCGCCCAGGTGAAGTCGGTAGGACTGTGTTCTGATGTCTGTCCCATGTCTGTTTGGGACGGACAGGAAGTCAGAAATCAGACCTCCACTTCCCAAGTGGCTGCCCCCTGGGGCTGGGGTCAAGGTGGCAGTGGAGGTGGAGAGGACCAGCGGCCCCTGGGATGCTCAGGTGCCACTTCCAAAGCAGTCGCTGAGCAGAAGCTGACGCCCAATCAGGGGGGTCTGGGCAGAGTAGGGAGGGCAGAGTCCGGGTCCCAGTGCATGTGGGTTCAAACCCCAAACGCTGGCCACACTAACAAGCCACTGGGAGACCCTGGGGGCTGCTTTAGCTCCTTGACTCTGTCCCACCAGCACTGATGCTGCTGCAGAGCGCTCTGGGTGCAGATTGAATGGTAACACACACCAAGGTGCCCGGTATAGCACCAAGCTCAAAGCTGGTGCCCAAAACCTACTCCCGGGAAGGGAAAAGGGGGTTGACTATGCAGGCCCTTTTGCAGGGAGGGGCCCAACTCTAGAATGCTCTCTCAGCACTGAGCATGGCTCTAGCTCTTCTGTGAGGCAAGCAGGGATTGGGGGCCTTCAGGCCTGATTGTTCAACCCTGCCTGTCTTCACAGCTATTGCCTGCCTGGGATGTGGGATGTGGGGGGGTGGGGAGGGAGAATGCTGAAAGAACCATGGGTGTATGTGTGTGTGTGTGTACATGTGTGTATACATGTATATGTGTGTGTATGCGTGTATGTATATGTGTGTATATGTGTATGTGTATGTGTGTGTGTGTGTGTTGTACATCAGAAGCAGAGGGCAGTGGTGGACAGGGAGAAATGGGGTGAAGCAGAGGTGGGAGAGGGCCCTGACCCACCCAGCTTCCCCAGCCCGTCCCCCGCCCCCCGTGGCCCGCCTCGCATGGAGGGAAGCCGCATGTCTGCCTGACCAGCTCTCAGTGGTCTGCTCAGCGCCTCAGGCTGGGAATGGTGGCCTCGCCAGGGATTGGGAATAGGAGATGGGATCTAATTTCTCTTTGCAGGTGGTAATGGCAAGAGGGGCAGGAGAAGGTCTCCTGGGCATGAAGGACCTGCTCTGCAGGCCCACCGAGGCTGTGTTTGATAGGGGAGGATGGGTGGTGGGCTGGGTGCAGAGAGGGTGGATCGCCCACCCAGAGAGCAGAGATAGCACCTGGGTCCCAGCGGGAGTTTGAGCTCAGGTCTGCTACACTCGCTGCACTCGGAGGGGGCGTGAGACTGAGACGGCTTCTGATGTGCAACACACTCACACACACACACAAGCACACATATACAAACATACACACACGTATCCATACATACATGCATACACATATATACATACCCACAGACATGCACACATACATCTACACATACACACATACATACACATATACACACACATACACACATAAACACACACGCACACACATACACACATATACATACATACATACATACATACATATATACATACACCATACTCACTCTAGGATTCTGCACAGGAAAGCGTGACTCCTGGGTGTCATTATTCTGTGAAATGGACCCCCCTGCACCCCAAAAGCGGGGAGCATCTGCTCTGGATGCAGGGCCCGTCTGGGGAAACGGAGCTGGCTCTGCGGGAGCTGAGGAAAACGCTGGGCAGCAAACGAGGCAGCCACGAGACCCAGGCTGCAGGACACTGACCTCGAGTCCTGCCAGCACAGACCTGGTTGCTGCCCGGAGACGCCAGCTTCAGGCCTGGGGCATGAGTCAGGGGCTCGTTAGAGCAACCTGCAGCCTCCCGCCATCTCCGTCTTCTCAGTCTCTTGCGCCCCCTCTGAGTGCAGCGGGCTCTCATGAACTGCCCCGTCCAGGGGAAACTCGAGCCAGGTCGGAAGCCTCGAGGGTTGGCATGTATGTGACCCCTTTTGTCTGTGAATATAGGGTAAGTTCCCAGGGAGACATATGCAAGAACAGAAACGTACATCTAACTTCCGACACTTTTCCAAGCACGGGGTTTGATGTGCTCTCACTGAGTCCTGCAGGGTGGCCAAGGCAAATCCGAGCGTTGTTTCCAGAGTCTGCTGGAAGCCACGGTCTCCCAGACGTGCTCCAGGTTTGCACTCTGGTCAAGGCAGGCTGGCGCTGGGCCCTGGAGGGGAGGTTCCACATCCTGAGGTGTGAGGGGGTTGGGGTGGCTTTTGCGGGCTGTGAACGCAGCAGGCCGGAGGGGCTGGAGGGCTGGGCCCAGGCAGAGGCCGCTGGTCCTGAGCCCTGGGGTGCTGACTCTGATACTCTAGAGGGGGGTGTGCTAGATCCAGTCACCTGTGCCCTCCCAGTGACTTCTCTAGGTGTGTGAGGTGACATGTTCAGCAGGTGCGAGAAAGATGGGCCAGTGCCAAAGGCCAAGCCCAGAGATGTTTCGGATTTTTCCCTTTATGCCCCTGCAACCAAGCCCAGCTGCTCCAGCACATAAAAGGGACCCGAGCGAGGGCTCCGGCACTCACTGGCCTGGCCTCTCTCCTGCTCTCTGACAACTCCGAGCTCTGCTCTCCTCTCCAGTCATGATCTCCAGACAACAGGGCGTCCGCGGAGGGTCCAGGGGCTTCAGCTGTGGCTCAGCCGTCGTCGGAGGGGGCAGGAAGTCTGCCTTTAGCTCCATGTCCGTGTCTGGGGGTGCAGGCCGCTGCTCCTCGGGGGGCTTTGGCAGCAGGAGCCTCTATAGCCTTGGGGGTAACAAGAGCATCTCCATGAGCATGGCTGGGGGCCGGCAGGGCGCCGGCTTTGGGGCTGCCGGAGGTTTCGGGGCCGGTGGTTTTGGCACTGGTTTTGGTGCCGGTGGCTTTGGCGGTGGATTTGGGGGTGGCTTCAACGGACGGGGTGGCGCTGGCTTCCCTGCCTGCCCCCCTGGGGGGATCCAGGAAGTCACCATCAACCAGAGCCTGCTGACGCCGCTCCACGTGGAGATCGACCCCGAGATCCAGAAGGTGCGCACCGAGGAGCGCGAGCAGATCAAGACCCTCAACAACAAGTTCGCCTCCTTCATCGACAAGGTGAGCGGAGGCCTGACCTCACCGGGTGCTGGGAGCGAGGGCTGCTGAGTCCCAGGGTCCCAGACCTCAGCCTGCTGGCCCGGGCTTCTGTGCTCCAGCTGTTAGCGGGGGAATCAAACCCTGAGTCTTTTCTTCCTTCCAAGGCAGGTGGGAACAGGCTGCTCAAAGCGGTTCCATGCCTGGAGTTCCCTTGCTGGGCCGTGTGCTACTGGGCAAATCATTTAGCTTTTCTGGGCTCAAACACTTCAGCTGCAAAGTGGTTTTATGATTTCCCTGCCTTTTCTCAGGTTTGGGAAATAGCATGGTAAAGAGTGTAATAATTGAGACTAGCTAATTGCAGCTAATACCATGATTTGCCTATTGGCCCTTCTGTTCTTGGAGTGGAAGAAAACCCAGGTTGGTTTCCAGATGTCAAAAGGACTCTTTTTTGTCCTGGAGGATAGCTTCGAGGCCCCTTTAGGTTTCCTCTTTCACACTCTGACTCTGGGGAAGTTATCATTGCTGGGTCTGTTTGAAGAAGGTGGGGATAGACTTTCTTTTCCCTCTTGTCACCTAACTTCCTGTTTCAAGCAATGTGTAGAGGTTCACCCAGAGTCAGATTTGATGGATGGTGACAGCAAGCACATTAGCCCCAGAGGGCTGAGTCATCTGGAGATTAACGGTGAAAGGGGCAAGTGTGCCCTGTGTGAAGACCGCCCCAGCTCTCCAGTCCTGGGCGGTGGGTGGGGGCAGGCGTGAACAATCCTGGGTGGGGAGCGGAGTATTTGCTCTCAGGCAGGCTCGACAAACCCAGAGTGGTGGAAAGTCATCGTGGTTTGAGGAGAAGCAGGACCAAGGATCTTGGCTTCCTTGTCACATGTCACTTCCACCTCACAGACGGTGGCCAGCTGGCCTGACCTGTTTCTGTTATGAAGCTCATAAAGTGAAAAGTGTGCAAAGCTGTTACAGGACTTACATGGCTGCATCTCTGCACACAGAGACTGTTCAGGGCAGGCCCCTGGCGGGACTGAGTCTGGTTGAGACTCAGAATGTGGCCCAGGCCTTGGTCTGGGGCAGCTTACTCAGCGGAGGGCCACCAAGTTCCGTTCACTCGGGAACTTATTTTAAAAATCTCTAGTGAGCTTGCCATGCATTTGCCTCGGACCTGGATCACCTTGAATGCCCCAGACTGTGGTTGTTGCTCCTTATTTGCTTTCCTTCCTAGTGGTAGAAGTTCAATGCCCTCAGTACCCCTTCCCGGGGCTCGTGGCGAGGAAGCTGTTCTCACTGCCTCGTCAGGCTCCACAGCTCCACCTGGGCTCTGTTCTCCACATCTCTGTGTTGTCCCCTTGGCTGCTGTGGGCTCAGAGGTGGGGCCACCTTGTGGACCCCCGTGGATGGGGATTGCAATGTGGTGGCCCCAGTGGGGGATCTTGCACTGATTGGCCCGTGCAAATCTTCCCACCAACATCTCAAGCTTCTCATTCTACTAATGACCTTTGTTTTGGCCATCGAAAGCAATGTGGGGTTACTCCTGGCTCTGCACTCAGGAATTACTCCTGGTGTTACTCAAGGGACCATGTGGGATGTTGAGGATTGTAACCAGATTGGCTTCACGCAAGGTAGCTACTCTGGCCCCTTGACTAATGACTTGTTTTTTTTTTAATAATAAAACACAGGTGCGGTTCTTAGAGCAACAGAATAAGGTCCTGGAAACAAAGTGGAAGCTCCTGCAGCAGCAGACGACCACCACCTCCGGTAAAAACCTGGAGCCCTTCTTCGAGGCTTACATCAATGCTCTGCGGAAGCAGCTAGATTCCTTTGTCAATGACAAAGGCCGCCTGCAGTCTGAGTTGAAGGCCATGCAGGACAGCGTGGAGGACTTCAAGACCAAGTACGTGGTAGGGGTGGGAGGGTGGGAAGTGGCATCAGATGATAAACCTGGGTTCATGCCCCAGTCCCATTGCTCCTCCAGAGTAATTTAGAATTCCAGATTCCTGCAACCAAGGGGCTCAGGAAGGTCCTTTGTATCCTCATGGCCACATTTAATGGTGAATATGCCATCCCTCAGTTGTTTAAACAGACCACAAGTGATTGATTCAGGGAACTGGCTTGGCCAGGACAACCAAGACCAGAAACAATCAATGAAGAGTGGAATAGGACAGTGAGACCAGAACACAGGTCACAAAGACAGATGAACTTGGTCTGAATACGGGTCCCTCCACTTTCTAGCTCTGTGACCTTGGGTGAGTTGTTTAACCTCTCTGATCCTCAGTTTCTCTCTTCTTTAAATGGACTAACATTTAAAGGGATTGCACCACATTGCAATTCCTTGTGGTTGTGAGGATCACATGAAAGCACACGAGAAAGAGAAAAGCGTGCAGCCAGTTACTGGGCATAGATGAAGGTTTAGTAACTGGTGGCTCATTCCTGCTGGTGTCGGACTGAGCTGAGGAACCCCAGCTCCTTCTCAGAGAGACAGAGCTCTGGCCAGGTGCCCGAGACCGTGACCCACCCCATGGCCCGAAGGATAGTCCTTAGAAATGAAACCAACCGGATCATTGCTGGCTTCTCTCATGTTCACCTTTGGAAGAGAATCTTTGACAAGTTTGGGTTTCATGTCTCCCAGTGAATGGGGGCTGGCCTGCTGCCCACACATGGCGCTCGTGTAGCCCACAGGGGCTCTGAGAAGCGCCGGCTCACCACATTGCTTTGTCTTCTCCTCCCCTCCCTGCTCAGGTATGAGGAGGAGATCAACAAGCGCACAGCTGCCGAGAATGACTTCGTGGTCCTCAAGAAGGTGAGAGAGGCAGGAGGGACGAGGGGGACGAGAGAGCGTGCCTCTTCCTTCCAGAACCTCCTCATCACCATCTGGTTCTAACAGAACCAGGTCCCAAGGAATTAAGGGTGAAAGGGAAGTCATCTGCATAATTATCTTTCATGGTGGCGCATGACTGCCATGTGCAATGATCCCTTACCCCGTGGCCCCGTGCCGAAAAGGCTTCAAGGCTGTTGTGGCGAGTGCCTCACTGTCCCTGGGCATTTCCCCCTCTCACCCCCCACCTTCCACCACCACACACATTGGGATTCCTCTCCTCATCCTGACCTCCCTTCTCCTGTGCAGGATGTGGACGCTGCCTACATGATCAAGGTGGAGCTGGAGGCTAAGGTTGACGCGCTCACGGACGAGATCAACTTCCTGAGGGCCCTCTATGCCGCGGTGAGGACTCAGTCCCTCCAGCTGGGGAAGGGTAGCTGTGTGCTGGTCAGGAGCAGAGAGGGCTGTGGAGAGAGGTTCAACAGACAAGTCCTTAGAAGCAACTGCTGTCTTAGAAGAGGGTGTTCAGAGTTCGAGATCACTTGAGATTGACCTCTGGGTGTCTGGTGTTTCTTTGGAGAAACGAATCTGTTATTTGCCTTCTACACACGGACTGCCTGACCATGGCCTGGCTCCTGGCTCTCGGGGAGTGGCAAGGAGAGAAACTTTAGCTGTCTCCACTGTGACTGCTGCGGCCATTCTTTGGCAGTTTCTCCATAGACATTCCCCTGGGAATGCCAAGTTAGCATCCCTCTGGGCCTGTGGCGGGTCATTGCCACGAGAACAGTAGATTTGGGGTGTCAGTTAGACATTGGGGATGTTGGGCAAGGGGGAAGTCTCTTGGAAGGGGGCAAGGGGGAAGCCTGAAGTGAGCCATGATCCCCACAGGAGCTGGCCCAGATGCAGACACATGTCAGCGACACATCTGTGGTCCTGTCCATGGACAACAACCGCTGCCTAGACCTGGACAGCATCATCGCCGAGGTGCGCGCCCAGTATGAGGAGATTGCCCAGAGGAGCAAGGCCGAGGCTGAGGCGCTGTACCAGACCAAGGTGGGTGCTGGGGACGTGTTAGGAGATGGGAGTGGCTGCTGCCTGGGCGCAGATCAGCTTTGCTGGGAGCAGTTGCCCACGCTGGCCTTCCAGGCTTGACTCGTCCTGGTCTGACCAGAGAACCCATGGCAATAGCAGCCGAATGCACAGGACTCTCCTGGATGTGTTCTCTTGTGACCCCATCTGACGCATCTTCCTGTGTCTTCTGGATATTATTAGGTCCAGCAGCTCCAGACTTCAGTCGACCAGCATGGTGACAGCCTGAAGAACACCAAGAGTGAGATTTCTGAGCTCAACAGAATGATCCAGAGGCTGCGGGCTGAGATCGAGAATGTCAAGAAGCAGGTGAGTGTCAGCTTCTTCAGAGGCCTCCATGTGGACAAGAAGACAAGGTGTCAGGCCAGAGGGTCCCCAAGGCCCACAGGGATCTGTAGCCATTGACCCAGGCCATACCCAGGCCTTCCCAGCAGTGCCCTAGTGATCATGAGGCAATGCCCCAGCCAGTGAGATTTCTGCGCTGGGCTCTGCTCATTTTCATCTCACCTCCTGGTAAGGGTCCTGGGGGTGGTGGGGGCCCTGGCTGGAGCAGATGCGATGCAGGAGTCTTTGACAGCAGGATTCTGAACCTTGCCTGTCCATCACAGTGCCAGACTCTGCAGGCGTCTGTGGCCGACGCTGAGCAGCGCGGGGAACTGGCCCTCAAAGACGCCTACAGCAAGCGCACGGAGCTGGAGGCGGCCCTGCAGCAGGCCAAGGAGGAGCTGGCCCGGATGCTGCGCGAGTACCAGGAGCTGATGAGCGTGAAGCTGGCCCTGGACATCGAGATCGCCACCTACCGCAAGCTGCTGGAGGGCGAGGAGTGCCGGTGAGGAGGGAGGGAGGGAACACGAGGAGGGCACAGGGTCAGGAGCCTGCGCCTCTGCTTGGGGCGGTCGCTAGTGGCCACAAACGAGGACAGCAGAGTCACAACCCCATGGGCTTGAAATCTGCTGACCCAGCAAGCGTGACTCACGGCTCCCTCTCCCCTTTCCCTCTGTCTCCCCCAGGATGTCCGGAGAGTGCCAGAGCTCCGTGAGCATCTGTAAGTACCTCCTGCCCCAGGTCAGGCCCTTCCTGCCTCTGGGTGGGATGCGGTGGGTGTCCTGCCTCCAGCACCCCTGGGTAACTGCTCCCTTTGCCCCTCTCCCGCAGCTGTGGTGGGCGGCAGTGTCAGCACTGGAGGCATCGGCGGAGGACTAGGAGGCTGCTCTGGCTTTGGAATGGGTGGCGGCTTCGGCTCTGGCTCCGGAAGTGGTTTTGGGTTTGGCTGTGGTGTCGGTTCAGGCAGCAAGATCGTCTCTACTACCTGCCTGACCAAGAGATCCCACCGGTAGAAGTCACGCTGTCCCTGCTGCCTGCTGAGCCCCATTGGCCTGTCCCTGGATCCCCGTGCTTCCTTCACCCCTGGCCCTGCCCTCCCTTTTTGGGGCTCATCTTCCCAGTGTCGTCTCTGTGCTCCCCTGGCTGTCTCGGCTCCCAGGTCCTCTCCTCCACCAGCACGTGGACTCTGGCCTCTCGGAGTTTGGTAGCTGCTTCTCAGTTTGGAGACCAGCCTGGAATAGGAGTGGGTGTCAGTGGACACAGCACCACCCCCAGACTGAATAAATTCCAGGAGCTTCCTCTCCAGCATTGCTGGGGCTGTCCCCTTCTGACCCATGTCCACTCCTTGAAGTCCCAGATGCCCCTCTCCATCGGAACCAAACTCATCCTCCATCGCTCACCAGCAGTGGGCCTTGCAAGGCCAGGACAAGAGCCGCTCACTGTCCCACCAAGTCTTCTCACCCCTTCTCTCTCTTTGCCCCTGATTCTCCAATAAATCGCTTTTGTCATTCAATCTGCGTAAGCATCTCTGTTCCTGGGGGAGAAGTCTCAGAGCTCAGGGGCAAGGGGAGGAGAGGGCTCCAGGCTGGTCTGTTCTGGTTGTTTGTCACCCAGTGCCTGCTGAATTTCTGCTTCTGACCTGTCCCGATTCGGATCCGGGGGTCCAGCTCAGTGCGCTGTGTGATGCGAGTGGGCCGGGCCTAAAGGAGATACACATAGATAAAGTCCAGGCCTACCCCCCCCCCCGGATAAGATGACAGGAGTGTCTGGAAGGGTGCCTGGGAACCCCCATTTTCTCGTCATGCTGGGTCGGGTCCCCCGGGAGCAGCAGGCTGCTCTGCTTTCCAGGAACCTACAGGCCCTGGCTGTTGGCTGGAACAGAGGAAGGACACAAGTCCATGGCAAGGGCCAGGCTGCTGCCGGGGTGATGCTGTCAGGAGGAAGATCCTGTATCCCAGCGGGTGGGAGGTGCGAAGGGAGAAGTAGCCCCATTGGGCCAGTCCTGGGGATACTAGTTGACAAAATGCAGACAGTGAGATGGAGAGTCAGGGATGAGCTTTTGCAGTTTCAGCCTCCTCCCCCTATTTCTTTCCTGGGCTATTCCCAAGAGAAGCTCGCCCAGTGTCCCTGTGCCTGATCATCATCAGACCCAACCCTCCAGTGAGGATGCAGAATCGCATCCTCCTCCCTGGGGCCCCCCCGTGAGTGCTCCCCTGCCCCTTGCTAGGGAGCCATCAAACTGTCCACCGGCCAGGGTCATGTCCAGGTTGTGATGGACAGAAAGTCTGGGGGGCATGTCCAAGCCCCAGGCCCCCTTTCGGTCTCTCCAGGCCTCCTGTAGGCAGCTGGGAAGGTGCCGAGCCTTAAAGGGTTAAGCCGGGCCAGTGTGTCCCTGGAAGGAGGAGCCTCTGCTGCTCCCAGGGCTGCAGGCAGGTCCCTCACCAGCCTAATCTCCCCTTTGTCTCGGGCATGTGTCAGGGCAGGAAGTCTCTGCTGTCAGGTGGCTTGGCCATCTTCCCACGATGGCACCCGCCCCTGGGAAAATGCTTCAGTGGCTCTTTCCTGAGTTTCTGGGATGGCGGAGAGGAACCAAGGGTGAAGGTGTTTCTCAAGTTCACCTCTGAGGAGATGAGGAGGAGGACAGGGGGCCTGGGGTGGGGAGGGGCGGGCCAACCCATTTCTCCTGCCCTTGGAGCAAGGGGAGCCCGGGAGGTGCTGCCCGAGGAGGCAGGGCCCCTGCAGGGGGCCCGAGTCCTGGGATAATGCACCCAGCCCCGGTCCAGACCCAGATTCTGTGCATGTGTGTCCTAGAAGAAATGTGTCTATGACAAGCGGCTCCGTGAGAGCAGTTTTTGGGGCTCTAGGAAGGAACTTGGTTTACAAAACAGAGAGGGGACAGGGCATGGGGATGGCGTTTGGTGGGTAGACTCTGGCCTCACAGGCGTGAGGAAGTGTGAGCCCTGGCACCACTCTGCACAGCCGGGCAGGGTCAGCCACACTGCCACCACCACTGTGTGACCCCAGACATAGCAACAGAGGAAAGGGACAATAAAAAGGAGGACAAGCATTCAATTTGACCCGTTGCCAAAGCGTTCCAGGGGAGTAGCTGCTGACTCGCTCCATTGCCTGTCAAGATCAAAGGAGCTTATTTAGGGGGAAAATTCACCTCAGAAATAGCAAGCCCCACCTTCTCTCAGATCATCAGCACTGGATTCTCACTCGCTCTGCAGGTTCTGGGGTACAATGGAGACAGAGGTTGCCTTGCCAACCCCTAACAAGGCCCTATTCCCCGCTCTCCAGTGTCACCATGAGGTACCCATGTTCTTAGGACCCACTTGGGTTCAGGAGCTCACTTGTCCCCATTCCTTTGCTGTTGCAATGACCAGGCATGAGGGCGCCTACTCAAATGCTCTACTGGGTCGCAGAAGCAGCTGCTCCCAGGGATCGTACCTTTCAGCTGTAGGGCTCACTCATGGGTGACCATGAATGTCTGTTGTGGGCCTCGCAGGGGTCACATGCTGCCTTGAAGCCAGGAGGGCTGTAGGGCGAGGCCAGGAAAGAACCCCCTGATCTCATGCCTGCAGGGTTCGCTACCACCAACCCCCACCTTGTCTTCATCTGTCAGTGGTAGCTTCCCCTGAGCTTGTTCAGCTGCCTGTACCCATCTCTCCATCACCACCGCTGGGGCCGCTGTCCCTCGGCATGGGGTCCAGCTGTCTGAGTTCCAGCCAGTTTTCGCCATCACTTCAGAAGTGTCCCTCCCTCAGGAGTCTGTCAAATGGGAAGGACTTAGCAGAGGGGTTTGTTTATTTTGTGCTCTGAGTTTAGGTTTTGCTTTGAATCCTAAGAACACAGGGGCTCAGAATAAGGCATCTCCCCTCCACTAGCAGGCCGGGTGGATGGCTTCTTTGTGGTTTATTTTGTGCGAGAGCTGAGTAGGGAACATTCTGAGGAGTCTGTCATGTGCTGCATTCTAGGCAAAAGGAAGGGGGGCTGACGGAGGGAGCTCCCCAAGCAGACCCTGCGCTTAGCTGTGCTGATGACCAAGCACAGGGTGTGACCAGGAGGGTCTGTGCGGGTGTAAGTCTCAGCACTGGGCCTCAGCTGTGCCTGTGGTTTCCATTTGAGGCCAAGTCAAACCATCCTGGTACTGCAGTTGTGTTTCTTTCTCACTTGATGTGTCATGGGTCTGATCCTCAAGAGCCCAAAGTCAACACAAGGAGACCGGAAAGGGGGGTGGTCATGGAGAAGGGGCTTTGATTGATTTACAATTCATCTCACCCCTGCCGGCCGCCCAGACCCCTCCTACCATTCATCTGCTGGGGTGTTATTTAAAGGTAGGGACCAAACTTGATTCATCCTGATAATCTAGGGCTTGGCACATAGTAAATTGAAAGAGTCAACAAATATTTATCGAATGATTAGTCTGTTCTAGGCAATGTTTTATTGAGCACTAGATTCTTTCAAGGGGCTTTAGGTTGAGGCGATAATGTCTAGATAAAACTCACACACACAAATAACTTGGTGACCAGAGACAAATCCAATGCTCTGTGAGTAACAAGCTAAGGTCAAGGGAATTCAGAAGAGAAAAAGTTACTTCCAGGGCTGGAGCAATAGCACAGTATGTAGGGCATTTCACTTGCACATGGCCAACTGGGGTTCGATTCCCAGCATCCCATATGGTCTCCTGAGCACCTCCAGGAGTGATTCCTGAGTGCAAAACCAGGAGTAGCCCCTGAGCATCGCCAGGTGTGATCCAAAAAGCAAAAAAAAAAAAAGTTACTTCCAGTCTTGGGGAAGGGGTGCTAGCAATCACAGGGGGCTTCTTGTGGGAGGTGCTGTTTGAATGAGGTCTAGAAGGACAGGTTGGTCTGGTTGTCACAGGCCTGGGGCTGAACTGGCAGAGCTTAAGGAGATTCCTTTGTCTCAGCAAGTGTCCCAGGAGGACTCTCCGTTACTGCCTTACCTTGTGACTCTGGCCCGCTGAGGCCTCAATCTGAGCACTGCCCCCGTGTGCAGTGCTCTGGGTCCTGCAGAGTCTCATCAGACTGGGAGCTGTGCTGCAGCTGAGATACGCTGCAGTTTTAGCAGGATGGCAGGGCCCTGAGCCGGGACGAGGATGCCCACGGCTCTAGGTGACACACGTACGTCAGAAGGGGAGGCGCTCAAGTGAAATACGGAGCTTCCAATTCCAGAAAAGCATTAGGAGGATTGTCAGCACCAAGACTCTGACAGCACATGTACCTTTTCCTGGGGAGTTCAGGATGGCTCCCTGGAGGAGGTGATCCTGAGAACAGAGCTGAAGATGTGAGACTGTGTAAAGCTCTGGGTTGAGGATGAGGGGTGCTGTGGAGTAGGGTGGTCTAGGAGCAAGAATCCGAGAGGCAGAGAAGTTTGGTTCTCTCTCTCTCTCTCTCTCTCTCTCTCTCTCTGTGACCCCAAGCAGTTTCATATCCCTCAAGGTGACATTCAGGGAGTAACGGGCGAGGAAGCAGGAGAGGTAAGTTGAGGCCAGACTCAGGAGGACTATGGCATGGCCCATTGTCCGATTTATTTGGGACTTGGCCCTCATGTCATGTTCCACGGGCAGACTGACTCAAAATAAAGCCTACCTGTGAGAACAAGCCCGGAAACAGAGGAGGAGAGAGTTCTGGACCCTGCTGGCAGGGTGTGGCTGCAGCCAACTGCATGCCCCTGCCAGGCAGCTGAAATGCCAAGCCTGGCAATGGCCCCGCCTCCTTGTTCACTCCTATTTGCCACGAGGAAGTGTTTCCAGGGACTGAGGAGTTTGCTGTCATCTTTGTCCTCTGAAATTACCACTTCCTCCCAGACCATGTATGTTCTTGGACATCAGTCTGTTACATCCCTTTCATATACTGGGGGCTTCTTTCCGTAAAATAATTTTTTAACTGAATCACTGTGAGATTGACCCTTACAGATTAGGTTTCAGTCATACAGTGTTTCAAGACCCATCCCCCCACCAGAGTACAATTTCCAGCACCAGTGTCCCCAATC